AACATTTTTGGTCGAAGTTTACAATTTTTTTTTGTCATTAAACTAACTTCGACTTTTTTTTTGGTTAACATTTTAGTCAAATTTTACAATTTGTTTGGTTTATTACAAGAAAGTTACATTTATATGGTGAAACAATCGTTTTAAAAATGCAATGATATTAGAGTTTACATTTTCTTGTTTTGATAACTGATTTCATATTTTTGTACAATTTCTAAAACCTTTTTTTTTCTTTCGGAAGTTAACATTTTAAATTATTCATCTTACAATTTGGTTTGTTTTTTTTTTCTTAGGAAAGCTATGTTTATATGAACAAGAAATCGTGTTACATAACTGCAATTGGTTATCTTATTATTGTAAACTTGCTTCTCTTGATTTTCTTTAACGTTTTTTTTCTCTCTTTTTGGTTATTCTTTTTGAATCACAAAATATTGTTTTCTTGTATCGTGTTGCGTTAATCTTGAAACTAAAAATGACGATGCAAAATTGCATAACGCGAAAATGATTATAAAAACATAAATTTGCTTCTCATGAACAAAAATGTGTCATCTAAACCAAATCTTCCAGCTTCAGGCATTAGTTCTAAGACAAACTAAACTGATCACCAAGCAGAGCAATACGAAGAAGACCGTATATGTCGAGAGTCCATTAGAAACTCGAGAATCTGCAGTTTCCATTCTTCAGCCAAGGATCATTCTCAAAACCTCATTTTCGCTAATTTACGGGTCTATAAAGGGCTGACTACCCAACCTGTTATCGGATTCTTCCTACGGATCCTTGATTTTCCGTGAGAGCCAGATTGCAACCGTTCAAGCACAGTGTAAGTAATGGAATCTGGCGTGAGTCCTTGTTGTTTCATCTTTGTGTACAGATCAACTGCTTCAGCGGTTCTCCCGCTCTTTTCTAGACAATCAAGCAATATGTTGTACGTCACAATGTTCGGTTGACACCCTTTAACAAGCATTTCTTCGAACAATCTATATGCCATTTCGACTCTCTCTGTTTTCCCAAAGCATTCAATCAGAGTGCTGTATGTGACCACATCAGGGTTTAAGTCTTTTTCTTGCATCTCCTTGAATCTTACATGTGCTTCATCAACATCACCGTTCTTCCCCAAACAATTAATCAAAGAGTTGTAAGAAACAATGTCCGGTTTACAGTCACTGTTCTCAAGCTCCTCGAAGATCTTAATAGCCTCATCAACTTCTCCTACCCGACCGAAACTGGAGATAAGTATATTGTATGTGAATATATCTGGAGAAGGACCGTCTTTTTTCATTTTCTCGAAGAGATCATGAATATGAGATATTTGCTTTAGCTTCCCGAGCGCAGAGAACACAGTGTTGTACATCATAGTATCAGTAACCACACCTTTTTCATGAATCTTGCTCAACATCTCTATAGCTTCAACGGTTTTACCAGCACCGCACAAACTCTCTAACATCGACATGTAACTGTCTCTCTCTCCTTTCACAGGGAAGTTCCACATATCACAAAATAACCGATGAGCCTCACTTACATGCCCTAATTTGCTCAACGTTCTAACCAAATACGAGTAAATCCCCTGAGTCATATAACTTTTCGACATCTCCACGATTCCATCTAACTTCACAAGCTGACCTTCAGCTACTAAAAGATTCAAAATCAGACTATACGTATACTCATTAGGTCGAATACCAGTTTCCAACATCTTCGAGAAGACCTGAATCGCCTTATCAACCATTTTACCTTTCGCAAGAACTTGCATCAAAGTATTATAACCAACCACATTAAGAGTAAGCCCTTGAGTAATCATCTCATTAAACAAAGAAACAGCTTCGTTATATCTCCCAATCCTTCCCATTGTTCTGATCATAATCGTATACGAATACTCATCTCCTCTACAATGTCTCTTCTTCATATCTTCGAAAACTTGACAAGCCTGATCAATCTGACAAAATGCTTCACCATTATACACGAATCCTCAAACTCATAAATGATCAAAAACTTAGCTTATGATCAAAGAAAAGCACCTTTTGATCTTTAGCTAAAGCATCAATCAACATATTGTAAGCGAAAACATCGAGTTTATGTCCTCCTCTTCTAATCTCACAATACACATCAAAAGCTTTTGAAGAATCACGAGATCTTAAGTAAGCTTGAAGCAAACATTTGTAAGTGAAAGAGTTCATCTTCAATTCCCATTTCTTCACCAAACTCAAACACATTTCCAAATCTTCGGTGTTTCCGAAGAATCCGATCAAGATATTCACGGTGGATATGTTACCTCTGACGTTAGATTTCACCATGAGATCGAGAATCGAGCGAACACGATCGAATCTGTCTGTGAGATTTGATCTAGAGAGGATTAAGATGATGCGATTGTAGAGGAATGGATCAGTGTGAGAGTTAGGGCAAACAGAAGGAACGAAGTTGAAGAATTCGACGGCGAGACGAGGAGAGGTTAGGGATTTGAGAATCTCTGAAGCTTCGTCTGGAGTGAGTGAGAGTGAAAGTGAAGACAGGTAATCTGAAAGGTCAGAGAAAGCATTGTCGGTGGTTCCGATGTCTTCACGGTGACGGAGAAGGAGATTGGTGGCTTTGCAGATTAGATGACGGCGAGGAAGAGTGTAACCTCGTACGTCGGTGGGAAGAGGATTAGGAAGAGAAACTTCAGCGGAGAGAGATCTACCGGAGGGAGATGATGAAGTGACCTTGGCGACGTATTTGGTAGCGTATCGCCGGCGATTAGCTCCAGTAATCGCATCGACGGTGACGCGGCGGAGAAGCCTCATTTTTGCGGCGGAGAAGGAAAACTAGCTCTCTTGAGCGGAAAACTCAAGAGGTTAAAGGAAGATTGTTTTTATCTTAATGGGCCTAAATTGGCATAAATGGGCCTGAAATTAATTACGGTCCATTTATTTATTTATTTAACCCATTTGAAAGTATGAAGAACTGTAACCACTTGGATAAAAATAACACCTAATT